TGCCTCCAGCATATATATACATATATAATGATCTAATATTATATAATAAACACTATAAATAACAAACAAACATGTTATATACTCTACACTGAATAAAATAGGCCATAATATGGCGAGAGTCCACCAGCAGTATTTCGATATAAGAGTTACTCCTAGTTTCCATGTTGTATTGTTTGGTCTGTGATAGAAAACGGTATTTTGAAGAGAATAACTGCACTAGAACATCAATTTACTTAGAAAACCATTGAAACAAACGCGATTTTCGCGAAAAAAAAAAAAAAATTTGGAGACGGCGGGCCGGCCGGCGTTCCAGGCCTATATCTCGGAAGTAACTTTTTCACTTATTTCGCTAAATTACACATTATTAATGATTGTATTGAAATGATTTTCACTGACAATATAAAACAAAGTGTGTTTGACTATTTGCGGCTTCTTTTTTTGGAATATATCAAATATTTTTTATTTTGTGGGAGGTAAAAGGCAGATATTTTGGTGAATGCCAAAAAGTCTATCAAATGTATTTTTTTTTTTCCATGATAATAAGATATATTAGATGAAACATGTTCCTCCAAAAGTCGTGTCATATGTATTCTAACGGTTAGGATTGTCGGAAGTGCCACTCGAAGTGCCATTTTGTCATACCTTGCTGCCATATATGAAAAGTCATTAAATATTTTTTTTCTCTGTTGTTTGTTGGCCAATCATACAAACTTTCTCACATTCTTCTACATATGAACCTCTAAATGTACACCAAAAATAAAAAAAATTGGTTGAAAAATAAAAAAGTAGGCCGCAATTTGGTCGAACTACCCTTAAATACGGGTACTCCCACCCATTTTGATCCTCGCACTCATTCTCTCTTGCAACGATCTCTTGGTCTGCTCTTCAACCACAGTAGACTTCACCTTGTGTGTCCTCCCGGACTTGCATGACAGCGATCATTTTCCAATCATCCTTACTTCTCCTCTGTATTCATCACCTCCTTGTAGCCCATGCTGGCAATTTGACCAAGCATGCAACTGCTTTTAGCAAACATCCATCTTTGTCCTCCACTGACGAGTATTTACACCTCTTCTCGACCTCAGTTTTAACTGGAGCTTCATATTCTGTACCCCAAACTTCAGGCAGGCATTCTCAGAAGTGCATGTCTTGGTGGTCTCCTGCTTGTGCTCAAGCAGTACGTCTGGAATGCCCTGCATGGGGCAAGTACTGGTACAATAGAACCACAGACTCCTTGATTTTAAGCAGGAGAGAGTGGTCACTCTCAGTGTCATCTGTGTAGCTAAAAGCACTTGCTGGTGGGATCAAGTTTCTGCCATCACTTCAGCTTCCTCTGAGTGCAATCTGGAAAAAAGTACGGAGACAGTGATAAATACTCTTCCAACCCGGCTCCTGTTCTTCGGGTTGCCGGTGTCAATATAGCAAACCCTCTTGACGCTGCCACCGAAATTGGTAATCATCTTGTCCCTATCTTTCAGGGGCTTCATCTATGCCCCTCGTTTCGTTCCTCAAAATCTGCCAGAGAGGTAGAGCCCTTAAACTTTTCTACTGTCAGAGAATCTTATAATGTGCCTCTTACACTTATGGAACTGGAGGCAACACACACAGCTTGCCGATCGTCGGCAGCTGGGCCTGACAGCATTCATATTTGTATGCTACAGCATTTACGTCAGTCAGCCCTTGCAGTCCTCTAACAACTAGCCTTACTTGGTCACAGGGAGTTCTTCCCCAGCTGTGGAAATTTGCCATTCTTCTCCCTTTCTGCAAACCAAGTACTACGGGACATGATGCCTCCCACTATCTTCCTACTGCTCTTGCCAGTGCAATTTGCAAGGTGATTGAACGTCTGGTAAATAGACATTTGATGTGGTATTTAGACAACAGTCTCTCCACTAGTCAATATGGCTTTCGTAAGGGCCGTTCTGCCACTGACCCCTTACTACGCTTAGATACGCATGTTTGTAATGCTTTGCCCAATAACCACTCAGTTCTCGTCACCTTTTTTGACCTGAGAAGGCATATGACAACTTGGAAGTATATCTTTGCCCCGGCCCTCTCCTTAGACTTTGTGGCAATCTACCACCTACAATCTACCCCCTTTCATTCTACGTAATGCCTCACGCACGTTCCCCCACACTCGCATCTTGTTCTTCACCTTCTTATACCTCCCTGGCCAGCGAATGAAATTACCGCCTCCCTTCCTTCATTGATATTTAAAAGTTCCTCAAAATATGCCTGCTATCTACCCAATACCTCCAGCTCCCCATCTATTAACTCCCCTACTCTGTTTTTAACTGACAAATCCATTCGTTCCCTAGGCTTTAACTTGTTTAACTCGCTCAAAAAATTTTCTTATTTTCATAAAAATTGGACAGTGCCTCTCCCACTATCACCTGCTCTCCTTTTGTACTCTCACCACTCTCTTCACCTTTCTTTTACTCTCCATACACTCTGCTCTTCTTATAACACTTCTGCTTTGTAAAAACCTCTCATAAGCTACCTTTTTCTCTTTTATCACACCCTTTACTTCATCATTCCACCAATCACTCCTCTTTCCTCCTGCACCCACCCTGCATTTTTAAAAATATTCCAACCCTCTGCAACCCCCCTCCCCCCACTACTCATCCTTGCACTAGCTCACCTTTCTGCCAATAGTTGCTTATATCTCACCCAAATTTCATCCTCCCTTAGTTTATACACTTTCACCTCTCTCTTACCTGCTGTTGCCATTTTCCTTTTGTGTACCAGTTATCAGTATACACTGTATAATATATGCCCCTTACCAAGACATGGTTCCATCATTGTTCTAACCACATCACCAGACACACCCAATAACTTCCTGGTATCCTGCAATGTATTACTTTCAGTGTACATAATAATAACCAATGCAAGACCACTATAGCAATCACAAAGTACAAACAACTTTATACCAAAGTGTTTCCTCTTGCTTCGTATATACTGCTTGAATGACAGTCTACCTTTGAACAAAATCAAAGACTCATCAATAACAAGTTTCCCTGAAGTGATAAAAATACATACTGAATTTCTGTTTCAGATACATAAACACATTCCTAATCTTGTATAACCTGTCTTCTGTCAGGCCTGGTTTTGTCTGAGAAGTGTAGCATACATAATAGTAGCACAAATCGATTCACTTGTTTTATATCACTGAAAGATGAGGTTTCAATCAGGCAGTCTGTTGACCAGCATGATTTGACACTGTGCTTAAACACGTGGCATAAGCATTATTGTGGCCGAGATACATCTCGGCTATAGTTGTCTCCTTCCACTGGTGTAGGCATGATCTTGGTGAAAGAATTGTGTCTGCCATGGTGTAATCAAAGTATGTGTTGCCCTCCCTGACAATTTCCATCAGGGGTTTGTCGAAGAATAACTCGAAACATTCTAGTTCAATAGCATTGTTCCCAAGTGTACAAGATGGCTGTATTCCACTTTGACTTTCATGAGTGATGAGGATTGGGAACAAAACTGGCACCTTCCTGCCAATCCTGGGTGCAGTCTACTGGTGGGTACTGGACATTGACAGGTGGTTGTGGTGGTGGTTGTTCTGGAGCTTGGTGTGGTGGGTGCGTGAGGGTGGGCTTTGTTGTAGCTCAGCTGATTCAGCAGTGTGGTTACCAGCATGAGGCGCCGATGGTGCATCATGGCGCATGGCACCACTACCATCTGATGACGCATGCACATTTTTCATCCCCACTATAACAATATCTTCATTTTCACTATCTGTTCCTGTTGCATGTCCACAGGATGTACTCCTTCCCCTAGGAATAGCATACGGCACACTACCAGAGTGCAGGTAGCGTCGTAAATACCGACGCTTCACTGGGGAATATTCCACTTCACTCTCGCTACTAGAAATGTTTTCAAGAGCTTGGATATCACATTCACTATCACTATCATCACCACTGCTCACATCCGAGTCCTGGACATGGGAAAATACGAGTTTCCTCTTTCGTTCTGGTACAACTTAACATGAACAAGACACCCCAGCACCAGAGGTGGAAGGTTGAGGGTCGTCTGGGTTTTCTGCACTATTACCGGTACCATGTTCATTATTTTCAGTCACTAACTTGTCAAAACCATGAAATTCTTCTTCACTGACACTTCCATTGGCGTCTGAACTATCACTTGGGAACAAAAGTCCCAATTCTCCGTGGAGTGAGGAGTTTCTTACCACGAGGCATAGTGAACAAGGCATACTAAAATGGCGTTCCCACAATGCAATGTGGGTGCCCTGATTTTTTTCCTACTGCACACACTGACCACGCAGACCAATTCTCACATGTAGGCCTATCAGCTTTCTCCCGCTCAATTTGAAGGCGCTAGAATTTACGTGTACAAGTACGTGACCGGCCCTCAAAGGGTTAAAGTATACACTGAAACCTCAACTCAATGGATTAATTTGAAAATATTGTGCTCAAATGGACAATTCTGAAAAGAAAGAGAGAAAGAAAAAAAAAAAAAAGTGAATGATGTTGAAACTGTTTGTTTCTTTTTTGGGTCACCCTGCCTCAGTGGGAGACAGCTTAAAAAAAACAATCATGGGTTAGATAATGGCTGATAGGAAAAACATCAGCATTAATAACAAATTCTTTGAAAATATATATAGAATTTTACAGATTTTCAGGATCGGGTAAACCACACTACCACTCATTTTGTTAATAGAAATTACTATGCACTTTACTACACGTATTACAAATTATGTTTTCCATCAAGCACCACCATAACATTAACAGGGGTGCTAAACTCATAGGCAATTGGGTTCAATTCAAGGAAGGATATCATCAAATTCCTAGAATCAAAAGCCTCTCACCAGCATCAAGAAGTCTCCCCTGAGAGGGTTATTTGAATTATATCATCCTCACATTTCTACCCAGACAGCTATTAAATGTATGTTAGCAAACATTTCCCTCTAAGTCACTCACCCTTGGTGAGAAATTGCCAATGTAGAAAAAATGTTTTAAAAATATCTAACTTACCTGGAATGGTACTTATAACAATAATTCTGTCATCTAATGTCTTTATAGGTTTCTGGAACCCACACAAAGCTTCAACTAAGAATATGTGCATCTGCATAGTGAGGTCATTGTTCACCCGTCTGTTGGGAGAAGAAAGTTTGATGCAACAGAAATTTTTCAATAAACTAATATTTTATATCCTAGCATCAGCAATAATATTAAAATATTCAACATTACTTTTTATAACCAATTTTAAAAAATCATTACAATAAAAGCAACCTGTAAAAAAATCTAAATTCTAAATGCTAGAAACTGTGTCCAATGTTAAATTCAGAACATTCCAATACTTCTAATCCTAAGAATTAGCTAAAGGATTTAAAAAAAAAAAAAAAAAAAAAAAAAGACGTTTCCAAACTATAAAGTTGCAGAACCTTTATATATAACTTGTACCAGAGCTAATTCTTTTCAGTTATGACTGGAACAAGTGTACATGATGAGCACTAAATATAATCTGATTTAGAAGAATTTGGCCCTAAGTATTTTTTTTGCCTTTATACAGGGAACACAAGGGTAATGTTTAAAATTACCCCCTAAAAGATACAGGAATATCCTGAAAAAGCTTAAACACATGAGGTAAAGATATGAAATGAGATGGATAATTAAAAAATAACTTTACATAGGTGTTAAAAATATGATAACTACAATATTTCAAACCTGTTGGTTCAAAATTCAGAAAGGCAAGATACCAGCTAATTCAGTCCCTCCCCTTTAACTTAGAGTTTATTGCAGTATATCAGAAATTATTGTAGAACACCTAATCAGTGTCAAGTTTGATCATCCACTGCCTAATTATTAAGTTAAAATGGCAATACTGAAAATATATGACCAACCTGAATACTGGATGTTCCTTTTCATCCAACACAATGATGATATCACCTGGTTCTAAACCTGGTTCTTGGTCCCCTTCTCCAGAGAATACCACTTTCTGACCATCCTCCATACCTTTGTCTACATGTACCTCTAGGATTTTTCTGTCTTTAACAACCTTGAATTTAAAACAAAATTAATGAGCTGAAGTAACTTTACAAAAATTACTTTATATGAACCAATTTTATGTTATTTACTATGGCAAGCAGAGCCATTCTTAACTATCATGTCATTAATAAGTCATTAAAGCAGATGTTTTTGCATTTGAAACTACCTTTTTTCCTTCACAGTTTTTACATCTATCTTTGGGATGAATACGCTCGCCTTGGCCTTGGCATTCTCCACACATACTCTGCACTTGTGACACCATACCAGGTCCAAGCTGCTGGATTCGCACCTGAGAGTTAAGAGATAGAAAGCCTCTTTAATTACCACTGCACTGCCTATTAAATTTTGCAAAAAAATGAGTAAAGTATGCTTGTCAAAAAAGCATATAAAAATGGGTAATTTTGAATTTTGAAAAAACAAATTTTATCTTTAGGAAATAATACTAGGAACATAAAAAAAGATATTCTGACCTTTAACCGTATCCAATGTACTAGTACAAAGGTGACACTTAAGTGTTGGACATGCTAGTAAACAATTTTTCATGCCTTCAAATACAATACCTGCCAATGTTTTTGGCCTCAGCACAACTGTTTGGGTCTCCTACCTCTTCATGCCTTAGAAAAAACCTAAGATCAAATAGGTCTACAGAGTACATCATGGGGCAACACTGCATAAGAAGCATAAGCAACCAATGAAACCAAGCCCTGTTGTTCCACCACCAGCTGCCACACCTGAGTGTAGAACAGCAGTATGATCCCTTATTCATTCCAAATTTATTCCAATTTTATGATACTAACAGTGGAATTCATCCTAAATAACAATGAAGATTCGATCTACAACGGACCATTTTTTTTTTTTCAACAAGTCAGCCATCTCCCACCGAGGCAGGGTGACCCAAAAAGGAAATACTTTCATCATACAACACTTTCACCTTACTCATACATAATCACTGTTTTTGCAGAGGTGCCCAGATACAACAGTTTAGAAGTATATATAAAGATGTATAACATATCCCTCCAAACTGCCAATACCCCAAACTGCCCTTTTAAAGTACAAGCAATATACTTCCCATTTCCAGTACTCAAGTCTGGCTATATAAAAATAACAGGTTGCCCTGAATCCCTTCACTAAATATTACCCTGCTCACACTCCAACAGCTTGTCAGGTTCCAAAAACCATTCGTCTCACACACACTTGCTGGAAGTCTAAGCCCCTCACCCACAAAACCTCCTTTACTTCCTCCCTCCAACCTTTTTGAGGAAGACCCTTACCCCGCCTTCCTTCCCCTATAGATTTATACGCTCTCCATGTCATTCTACTTTGATCCATTCTCTCTAAATGACCGAACCACCTCAACAACCCCTCTTCAGCCCTGACTACTACTTTTATTAACTCCACACCTTCTAATTTCTACACTCCGAATTCTCTGAATAATATTTACATCACACATTGCCCTTAGACTGGACATCTCTACTGCCTCCAACCGCCTCCTCGCTGCAGCATTTACAACCCAAGCTTCACACCCATATAAGAGAGTTGGTACCACTATACATTCCTTTCTTTGCCTCCATAGATAATGTTTTTTGTCTCTATATATATACCTTAATGCACCATTCGCCTTTTTCCTTCATCAATTCTATGGTTAACCTCATCCTTCATAAATCCATCCACTGACACGTCAACTCCCAAATATCTGAAAACATTCACTTCTTCCATACTCCCTCTCTCCAATGTGATATCCAATTTTTCTTCATCAAAATCATTTGATACCTTCATGACCTAACTCTTATCTATGTTCACTTTCAACTTTCTACCATTACACACTCCCAAACTCGTCCACTAACCTTGGCAACTTTCCTTTAGAATCGCCCATAAGCACAGTATCATCAGCAAAAAGAAACTGTCAACTCCCATTTTGTATTTGATTCTCCATAATTTAATCCCACCCCTCTTCCCAACACCCTAGCATTTATTTCTTTTATAACCCATCTATAAATATATTAAACAACCATGGTGATATTACACATCCCTGTCTAAGACCTACTTTTACTGGGAAGTAATCTCCCTTTCTTCTACACACCCTAACCTGAGGAGCCTCACTATCCTCATAAAAACTCTTTACAGCATTTAGTAACTTACTACCTATTCCATATACAGTGGACACTCACCTAACGAACGCATCGCATAACGTTAAATCCGCCTAGCGATACATTTTAACGCAAAAATTTTGCCTCGGCTAGCGCTAAAAAACTTGCTCAATGTGATTCGTTCGACACGCGTCCACGTGCAGCCTGAGCTCGCCTCACTTGTTCCGTGGGTGCCAGTGTTTACAAGCCAGCCACCACGATCGCTTCCAAGCATACAATCGGAACATTTCATATTATCACAGCCTTTTTAGTGATTGCACCTGCACAGTAAGTCACCATGGACCCCAAGAAAGCTTCTAGTGCTAACCCTACAGCAAAAAGAGTGAGAATTACTATGGATATGAAGAAAGAGATCATTGCTAAGTGGAGTGCGTGTCTCCGAGCTGGCCAGGTTGTACATAAAACCCCAATCAACCATCGCTACTATTGTGGCCAAGAAAACGGCAATCAAGGAAGCTGTTCTTGCCAAATGTGCAACTTTGTTTTCGAAACAGAGATCGCAAGTGATAGAAGATGTTGAGAGACTTATTGGTGTGGATAAACGAAAAACAGATAGAGGAGATAGCATCTCTCAAGTGATCATATGTGAAAAGGCTAGGAAGTTGCATGAGGATTTAATTAGAAAAATACCTTGCAACTAGTGATGATGTGAGTGAATTTAAGGCCAGTGGCATAGTGGCATACACAGTGTGATAAGGCATGGTGAGGCTGCCAGTTCGGACCACAAAGCGGCTGAAAAATATGTGCAGGAATTCAAGGAGTACATAGACAGCAAAGGACTGAAACGTGAACAAGTGTTTAATTGTGACGAAACAGGCCAATTTTGGAAGAAAATGCCAAGCAGGACCTACATTACTCAGGAGGAAAAGGCACTCCCAGGACATAAGCCTATGAAAGACATGCTTACTCTGAGGTGTGCCAATGCTAGTGGTGATTGCAAAGTGAAGCCTTTATTGGTGTATCACTCAAACTCCCAGTGTGTTCAGGAACTACAATGTCCTCAAGGCTAATTTGTGTGTGCTGTGGAGGGCAAACAGTAAGGCATGGGTCACTAGGGACTTTTTCTATGACAGGTTACACCATGCATTTGCCCCCACTGTGAAAAATTACCTAAAAGAAATTAGACCTTAAGTGCCTCCTGGTATTAGACAATGCTCCTGGTCATCCTTCAGACGTAGCAGAGCGACTTTCTGCGGAAATGAGCTTCATTAAGGTCAAGTTTTTGCCTCCTAATACCACTCCTCTCCTGCAGCCCATGGACCAGCAGGTCATTTCCAACTTCAAGAAACTGTACACAAAAGCTATGTTTGAAAGGTACTTTGTAGTGACATCAGAAACTCAATTGACTAAGAGAGTTTTGGAGAGATCACTTTAGCATCCTCAATTGTGTAAACATTATAGGTAAGGCTTGGGAGGAAGTGACTAAGAGGACCTTGAACTCTGCTTGGAAGAAACTGTGGCCAGAATGTGGAGACAAAAGGGATTTTGAAGGGTTTGAGGCTAACCCTGGGAATCCTATGCCAGTTGAGGAATCCATTGTGGCATTGGGGAAGTCCTTGGGGTTGGAGGTTAGTGGGGAGGATGTGGAAGAGTTGGTGGAGGAGGACAATGAAGAACTAACCACTGATGAGCTGCTAGATCATCTTCAACAGCAAGAGGCCACACCTGAGGAAACTGCTCTGGAGGAGGGGATAGAGAAATTGAGGAAGTTGCCTACTTCAAAGATTAAGGAAATGTGTGCAATGTGGCTTAAAGTGCAAACCTTTTTTGATGAAAATCACCCTCACACAGCAATTGCAAGCCGTGCTGGTGACTATTACTCTGACAATGTTGTGAAACACTTTAGGAATGGCATAAAGAAACAGGAGGTACAGGCCTCTATGGACAGATATGTTGTGCGACAGAGGTCCAGTGACTCAAGCTGGTCCTATTGGCATTAAAAGAAGAAGGGAAGTAACCCCGGAAAAGGACTTGACACCTCAAGTCCTAATGGAAGGGGATTCCCCTTCTAAACATTAACACCAACACTCTCCCCTCCTCCCATCCCATCAATCACCAGATCTTCAATAAAGGTAAGTGTCATGTAACTGTGCATGTCCTCTTCAGTTTGTGTGTATTAAAATTAATATTTCACGTGGTAAAAAAATTTTTTTGTTCATACTTTGGGGTGTCAGGAACGGATTAATTTGATTTCCATTATTTCTTATGGGGAAAATTAATTCGCCTAACGATAATTTCGCCTAATGTTGAGCTCTCAGGAACGGATTAATTGCGTTAGGCGAGGGTCCACTGTACTTGCAACATCTGCAAAATTGCTCCCCTATCCACTATCATATGCCTATAAATGCAATGAAAACTTCCCTTCCTTTATCTAAATATTGTTCACATATATGCCTCCTTGCTCATCAGAAATCCTACTCTCTATCTTACCTCTAATTCTTTCAATCGTAACCCTACCGTACACTTTCCCTGGTGTACTCCGTAAACTTATTCCCCCATAATTTTTACAATCTCTTATTCCCCTTCCCTTTATATAAAGGAACTATACAAGCTCTCTGCCAATTCCTAGGTACCTTCCCCTCTTTCATACATTTATTAAACAAAAATACCAACCACTCCAACACTATCCCCCCATGCTTTGAACATTTCTGTCATGATCCCATCAGTTCCAGCTGCTTTACCCCCTTTCATTCTACGTAATGCCTCACGCACCTACCCCACAATCACATCCTGCTCTTCTTCACTCCTAAAAGATGTTTTACCTCCCTGACCAGTGCATGAAATTACTGCCTCCCTTACTTAGACATTTAAAAGTTCCTCAAAATATTCCCCCCCATCTACCCAATATCTCCAGCTCCCCATCTACTAACTCCCGTACTCTGTTTTTAACTGACAAATCCATTCATTCCCTATGCTTTCTTAACTTGTTTATCTCACTCCAAAATTTCTTGACAGTGCCTCTCCCACTATCATCTGCTCTCCTTTTGCACTCTCTCACCACTCTTTTCACATTTCTTTTACTCTCCATATATTCTGCTCTTCTTAGAACACTTCTGCTTTGTAAAAACCACTCCTAAGCTACCTTTTTCTCTTTTATCACACCCTTTACTTCAGCATTCCACCAATCACTCCTCTTTCCTCC